CGATCGGCAAGCCCTAGGCACTGAGGCTTTTACCCACAGCGCCACCCGCGTCCCTACTCAGAGTAGTCCTACTGAAATTAATAGACCCAAGTTAGTAATGTTCATTAATTTCAATGAGTATACTCCACATAGGACTGACACTAGATACAAGCCATAGTGTCCAATGGTTGGACATAGTAGATGGTAAACCATGGGAAGAAATAGGGATGGAGGCAATTGCTGCTAATGGGAAGTCTCCCAAGGTATGTTTCAGAATACTTGACAAAGAATTTTCCTTGAATAAAGCCCATCAGAAAAGTCACTTGGTGCCTGGAATGTCATTTGAAAGCAGAACTGAATCAAATTAGATATACTGGTAGTTTGCTAAAATGACAATAACATTATGGCAGGCATGCCCAAAATTTGCCCTCCAGCTGTTTTGGGACTACAATTCCCATTACCCCCTGATCATTGGTCCTGTTAGCTAGGGATGATGGGAGTTGTAGTCCCAAAACAGCTGGAGGGCCAAGTTTGGCCATGCCTGCATTATGGTGTCTGGCTTGACTATGAGGTTCAAGCGAGTCTGTGGATGAACTGAAGAAGCAGGGAATCCAGAGGCAGGTGAAACAGAATAGTTCCTTTTCTTGGGCTCCACTTGTACTGCTAGTCTCTTCCTCCCTGGCAGCCTCTCTTCCTGAAGCCCAAGAGAACCATATTGTGGGAGGGGTGCCAATATGCCCTCTCACACAACATGCTCCCTTCCACCCTTCACATTCTCCTTTGGAGAGCTTGCTTGGGCTGCTTTTCCTCTGCTACCCTGGGACTAGTCAGCATTTTACTATTTCCAGGTCTGCCTGCAACCTGACAGTCCCTTTGGGTACCATTCCAGAAGCACCATCTGGTGCAGCCAGGGATCTCATGGGCATAGAAACAAGAAGTCCACCATCTCCCCATAACCACCAAACAAACTGAGTGTCAAAGGGCTAAGTATACAGGAATATACCCCACCACACGAGTTTTAGCAATATGACTTTCAGAATTAGACTCATCGAAAACAATGAAGTAGATTAGGGGTATTATAGGAATTTGTTTCCAAACATGAAAACAAACACATCCATTGAAAATGAACACGCAGACACACCCACAAATCATTTCTCCGACTCTGAGCTGCTTTTTGCTGCCTGCAGCTGTTCTGCTAAATGCACATCTGGTGGGTGTAATGGCTGCTCCACCCTAATGAGTTAACTCTCTTGCCAGGCATATGCTCATTTGCATGATACAGAGATCACAATGTCTCTCTTGCAGGAGTTGCTGCTGGTTGAAGCTTCGTCAGTGAATCATGGCTTACACGTACACTCTCAACCATCCATCAATATTTACCGCTACTTTAATTACAATTGTAGAACCAAGGCCATTAGGACAAATTGGACTTTGCTACGCTGCCATAAATCTGGTGTAACTTCATTGATTTCTAGACAGTTACTCCAGATTTACAGCAGTGTAGATGAAATCAGAATCCTATTCAATGTGTCCAAAGGAAGCTGAGTGGCAAATGATACCCAATTTCCACATCAAAGGACCAAGTGACTATGATCTTTCCCCCCAGTTGGACTCTCTCCCCTTGTTAATACAGCAGTTTACTCAAAATCTTCTTTTCATCTAGCAGGCAAGGCAATAAAGTTTACTCTCCAGTGTCAGAGAACCAGAGGTATACAAGTAGCAATATACTGTGATTTAAGTGCAAGACCTGAACACACAATATGCTGTGCTGTTATGAGACTCTTCTGCCAAACTGTATGAGATTTTGTTTTCCAATATGAGTAAAAGAAGCAAAGAGAGAAAATGGATGGAAGACACTGGAATATATTTGATCAGCTTCTTAGAGACCAGGAGTTTTTAAATTCAGTGAGGAGAGGGGGAAGGGATACTCAAATACTTTTCATTAAGGGGCCCCACCTCTGCACCAACAAATAGCTGAATAAATCTGAGATTCTGGGTTGGATTGTGTGCATAAAAATACTGAGGAATTTATTTGTTACAATAGCATGCATTCAAAAGAAAAAGATGAAATTGAATCAATAGAACTTCATGTTTTTAATGGAAGCTGAGACTGTTTCAAGAGGTTTGAGATCAATGTGTCTGCTATGAAGACTAAATATGCCAATATCCATCTTCTGAGAATTTAAGCAAGAATACTACAGCCCAGTACTGCACCCCCCCAAAGTGGCCAGCAATGTCTCTTGGATGCTCACAAGTGAGAAATATTAATTATTATTTTTGTCATAATCAAAGGTAGTCAGCTTCTGAATACAGAGGAACCCTAAGCATGTTGGATGGCTAGCAAATTTGCACAGACTTCACAGAAGAGGAAGGAGGATATGAAAAATAATCTACATTAATACTGCTGCGGATTATTCAAACAGAAAATAAGGAGGCACTATACTGTACTAACCACTCGATTTATGCAGGCTGTGCATCCAACATAGAGTTGCATTACACAGAGGCAGCTCAAGGCAATCTAAGGAGGATTCCAGTGCTCCTGTTCCAGCTTCAGGCAATAATCAAGAAACAAGTTTGACCAAAAGAATCCTCAGAGATAACCCATTGCTAGTAGTATGATATACTTGCCAGCAAAGCAGAGCATTCTGAGGTGTTTACAGACCACCAGCTATGCTTTAAAGCACAAAGCACAAGTCACCCCCCTGCAGATCTTTTGAAAATTGCTAATGCCCTTGGTAATGATGACTTGATTATTTCCTGCATGCTGTAGCCATTGCAGTGTGCCGTGCTAGATGCTGTATGATTTTTATTGCATTTGTTATTGCTTCCTTTAATTCTTATATTGCATTTCATTGTATTGCAGTTTGCATTGCACAGAATTCAAATTGCAGTGCAGTAAAATACAATATAAGAAACATTGTTGGCATCTGTCTGTTTGGAGAGACAATGGAGTGCGTCTCCACTAACTGCTGAGTTAGCCAGACATGCCATGCACCACCTCATGGACCACTGACGGTCCACAGACCACAGTTTGGTAACATCTATTTTAGAGAATCAGATCCAGTTCCGAGGTTCAACAATCACTTAACAATAGTAGGCAATTGCTCTCAAGAACATAATACATAGCAGCTGGATGCTCAGAATTTGTTACTGCTCCATAGATCATTCTATAGCAGGGTGGTCCAACTTGCAGCTTGTGTGGCTGCATATGGCCCTTGAGGCCTTTTTTCATGGTCCTCAGCAACATTTGACACTTGCCCCCAGCCCTCGTGCTGCCTTCCCAAAGCTGGGCTTTGGGATGGAGCTGTGATGGCTCTGACAGAGTCCTGGAGTCCTTTCCCCTGCTTCCCAAAGCCAAGTTAGCACTTCTGCAGCTTTAAACTTCTAGTTGTGCTTAATGTTACATTTGAAGTCCAATGAAAATCAGATACAACCAGTAGTTTTTATAGCTATAGAGTGCATATGTTCTCCCAATACAAGTACGCTTTAGCCTTAAATGCTGCTGAATGTTCTTCTTCTGCCTAGTCAGAATGAATCATTGCTTGTAGTAGGGAACAGATGTTGACAGTATTTCTGCATTTTACACGAAATGGCTAGGTGAGGAGCTGCTAGGTAGAGACAGACAACTGCCTCTTGAAAAAGCCTTCTAAGAATATCCTTCACTTCTTCAGCACATTTTTTTAATGCCAATGTCATCTTGGGATTGCTATTTATTGTTTTCCTTATTTAATAATAGTGTTGAAAGCATATTACACACAATACAGACCTTTGAATAGAAGCCCAGGAACTGAAACTAAGTTATAGCAACATGGGAGGTGACACTGTCTATGAAAGAAGGACAAGAAATAATACAGTGGTATTTGAGAGAAAGCCCCGAGCAACAGAAGTCTTGAAACCATGTGTCTGAGAAGTTAAAAAAACAGACCTAGTTCCTGTTTCCAAAATAACTTTCCATTGTCCACCTTGCAGAAAAACTAAAGTTGTATGTTATAAGGAACTGGAGAGCTCAGCAAGGAGAGAAACTTACTTAGGTATTCCAGATGTTTATAAGGACACAGATTTTTTTTTTTAAAGCTGCCCTTCTGAGATGTGATCAAGGGTCCATTCAGCCTTCTACATCCTGGTATGGTATCTCTGAAAAACTCACAGGATGGGCATAATGTAAACACCCCACCTGGAATGCAGCAATCAGAGGCAGCACCAAGCACCCAAATGATGATTTTGTTAGTCTGAATGGAATTGCAAATTGTATTCTGGAACATACGAATAATAAATTTAGTCTAGTGAAGTGCCCACTGTGACATGAATTGGAGCACCAGGAGAAGAGCCCATATGCTGCAGGGGCCTCCAGGTGGTGCAATGTGCATCTTTAACATAGCCCTACAGCTGTTAAGGGCACCACTCACTTAAAGGGATCTGTCTTGGGCAGGCTTCCTCAAGCTCGGCCCTCCAGATGTTTTTGGCCTACAACTCCCATGATCCCTAGCTAGCAGGACCAGTGGTCAGGGATGATGGGAATTGTAGTCTCAGAACATCTGGAGGGCCGAGGTTGAGGAAGCCTGGTCTTGAGCTAACACTCAGTAGGGAAGGGGCAAAACCTGTTCCCTTGGTCCTGCTTACCTCACTGTCTTTGGACCATGAAACATCAGTCCTTCTGATTGCCAGGAAAGATAAAAGCTCTTGGTCTGATGAGAAAGGTTTCTATCATGGGCCCCTTCCAGTCATTCAACTGGGTATAATGAATGCCCATGGAAGCAGCATCATGGTGGCTGGAATTCATTATAAGGGATCATCTACCTATACATTTGCATGCACAGGGATGCATACAGAAGTTAAAACAGTGAAGGCAAATACAGTTGATTTTGCACAGAACCTGCTACCATGGTGCTAATCTCTCGCAACTAACATCACAGATAGCCACTATTTGACAGCTATCTGAATGCATCTTCTACATCACACTGTTTTTCACCAACCTCTTTCATTTCAAATATTTCCCCCCCTCCAAAACACATGCAACTTACAGTTTACTGTGACTTTTACTTTTTTCACATCTGGGACTGAGACGTCGTTTTCAGCACTGCATTCATATTCCCCAGCTTGGTCTCTTGTAATTCCATAGATGTCCAAATACTGTCCACTTTCAAATGGTTTGGCTGAAATTAAAGGGGAGAGGGAGAGAGAGATTAAAAAGAGTGTACAGGAAATTTCATTGGAGCTGATTGAAGCTCCATTCAGGTAAAAACAACCAGCTTGTTGCAGGAAACTGCTGACAGAACTATTCCTGAAATCAAGGTGACAAACGATTACATCTTTCACCCCTTCTCCCATGTGCTGAAAACAACTGCACATTGCACAGCCTCACATAAGGTAGCAATACTGTAACAATGACTACCACAAGAAGTGATATACACCGTCTCTTTATAATTGATTAGAGTTACCTAACCTTGGCATACATCAAATAAATCTATGCCCATTTTGCAATTGAGTTGAACAGCCCTCTAGCAGGATAGATGAAAATTCACCATTATGCTTCAGTTCATATTGACTTTTACAAAACATAAGGTTCCGCCTTACCTAGAAAAAAAGCTGACACACGTTTCAAATATTTGCTGTGGAAAGGCATTTCATTTTGACTAAAGCTTCTGAATCGCAATGTTCTGTTAACAGCTCCGATATCCATTGTGTTCTAGTCCAGGGTTAAATGTGTATACAAGCCTGTACTGTACGTGCCTTCATTCAAAATCAAGACACATGCCAAGAGAATTCCTGCTCAGCTGCCATGCTCAAAGGGCTCTGGTGACAGCAGGCCTTTGCAACCATACCAAGATTCCCTGGTGTGGCTTCAGCCAATGTACACCACACTGATGCACAAGAGGTGGGGCTCAGCAGTGGTGTGTGGTGAAATTTTTCATAGGGGAACAGTTAGGGCCAGAGGCACTGGCTTGCAAGGGCGAGGAGGGGCAGATGTTGTGTGTGTGACATTGTGCCTCAGGCTTAGGGAAGGTGGTGGAAGGGCTCTTGGACCCCGTCAGAGCATCGTGCCTCCCTCCCCAAGCCAGGCAGAAGCACAATCCCCTACCTCAGTAGGGATGAATCTGTCAGTTTTGGTTCTCTCGCTTTCTTATTTTTGCATACTTACATTCACTTCCAAATGAAAATCCTGCATGAAAATCCACCAGCATTCTAGAGTGAATTTCTTCCAAGAAGAATATTTCTGTAAGCAATTTTGACTAATGTGCACATATTTTTGCAAGCGTGTTTGCCTAATATGCATTTTAATGTTGTTTTCATTTTTATGCACACTTTCCCCTAATATATGCATTTTTGTAAACATTGCTCAGAAGACTGCATCAAAAAATTCAAGTAAGTGCAGCTTTCATGCAGTTCTTATATTGTTTCGGAAGGTGTGAATTTGAAAGATTTGGCTTTAAATGTTATTTGAATTTCTCCCCCATATCTACTCCCAGCACAGGACTGGGACCTTATTTCAAGTGTTTCAAAGCATAAATGGGAGCACCAATGCAAAAAAACAAAATATGCCTGCCAAATCATAATTAAAAATGAGGAAAGGCAGAGGCAGGGAAATCAATTAATAGGATACAACAAAATACAGTGGAGTGATGCTGTTTTCTCCTTTTCTGTTTCACTTGGAAGGAATATATTATGAAAGGTAAGCTTCTGCTAAAGAGCCAGCTGTTCCTGTTTATGTGGTTGGCTGCTGTTACATTCTGCTAGGGCGAATGAATTTCCAGGAAAATATTATTTACTATCAATTTGAAATGAAGCATATGTTACCAGCCAGAATGGAATAAAAGCTACATTTTGCATTGCTTGAAAGTAGTGTGGCCTAGCTCTGTTTTCATATGCCGTTGCAGCAGTATTTGAATACACTTTGCTATGTTATACTGGTATCAGGTTCCTACTGAGAAGTAGCAAGTGAGTTTCGCAGCACTGCATTGCATTAAATTGCAGCAGATGGGTATGTGTGTGGAAAAAGCAAAAAATACGCTTGGATCCAAAATTCCTCAGATGGTACTTTTCTGTGGAGGAAATGTGATATTTTTCTCTTAATAGAACCCACCCACCCATGGCCCTAGAAAAAGAAGGCAACTTTAGGAAAAGGCCACGCTTCAGTGGCAGAGCATGAGCCTTGCATGTAGACCAGGGGTCAGCAAACTTTTTCAACAGGGGGCCAGTCCACGGTCCCTCAGACCTTGTGGGGGGGCCGGACTAAATTTTGAAAAAAAGAGAGAACGCATTCCTATGCCCCACAAATAACCCAGAGATGCATTTTAAATAAAAGCACACATTTTACTCATGTAAAAACAGCGATTCCTGGACCATCCACGAGCCGGATTTAGAAGGCAGTTGGGCCAGATCCGGCCCCCGGGCCTTAGTTTGTAGACGGTCCCTGGTTCAATCCCTGTTATTTCTAGGTAGGGCTGGGAGAGAACCCTGTCTGAAACCCGGAAAACCACTGCCAGCCAGTGCAGACAGTGCGGTCTTGGTGGCACATTTAATTCTGAACTTTGTTGAATGAGGGAAGCAAATAATGAACATGATGCAGTTCAACTCTGCACATTAGGGTTTTTCCCATCCTTCAAATTTTGATCTGCCTCTAGGATTGTAATGCTGGTAGAATTTGCTTTGCAGCCTTGAGAGCAGCAACATTCGGCTCCAGCCAAGGTCAATACTGCTGCCACTCCAATATTGACAGAAGTGACAGGCTTCAGAGGCCAGCATAGCACTACCGCACAAGCAGCGTAACTTGCCAGCTTGAGGAAGCAGTCATCAGTCCAGTTGAAAAATATCATCAGAAACAATAACTGCAGGGGAAATGGGTGTACCTTGTACAAAAAACTGCTACTGCAAAGGGTGCCAATGGAGGAATAAACGAGAGCGAGAGAACACTGAATAGCAAATACTTTCAGAAATGCAATGCAATGTAAAAAAAAAAAAAAAAGTTGCCAAGAGTGCCTGCAACAGTTCTTATTAGAGCTGTTATTAGTGTCTGTCAGAGTTTCTTAGAACAAAAACGCATGTGGGTGTATGTTATTTGAAGATGCCATAGTAATCTATTAAAATTATGTGCTGCAAAGAACATCATATAGAAGAGTCACTATCACGCTCAGCAGATTTGTTTAGGCAGCACAAGGCATTTATAAAATTCTGAATTTGGGTGGCAGGAAAAATCAGTCGAGGCTAGCTCTGGATGTGGGGAACTAGAATATTTGTCCCAAGTACAGGTCTGAAAAGAGATTATAAATATCAAGTTGTTATGTGTCCCCCACCCCTGGCACACACACGTCTTTCTTCACCCTTAAACTCTTGTGTTTTATGGTAGAGGAAGGAAGCCACATGCTCAGAAGTTAACTTTGCATAGGAACTACAATATTACTTCCCCATCCTTTGGAGGAAGCACAAGGCAGAGGGAGAGCTTCAGAGTGTATAGAAAAGAGAATAGCCAGGAAATGCTGAGTGTAAGAGAAATATAAGCATTAGGAGGATGTTAATCTAAGTACTTCTTTTACAGCACAATCTAATTCACCTTTAGTCTGAGTTCAGTGGGAAACCTCTGGTAAGTGGGCACAGGGCTACAGCTTTGCAGCTCAATCCAATGCACTGTAAGTTCCCTCCCCATTCACTCCTCTGAATTTACTTCTTATTGTGGGCATGGGTCTGCAAGCACTTTATGTCTCTTCCCCACCCTTGTCTGCTATCTTATGCTGTGTTTTTAACATACATAAATGAACATACACCAAGTCCAAAGCAAAGAGAGAACTCTCCAGATGCCGCGTTCACTCATGTTGCCAGTTCATTTGTCATCATAAATAAAAGTGCAATATAATGTAAGAATGCCTGGACTCACAAGCAAGCAGTCTAGATCCTAAATAGAAATGGTTTTCCATCATGAGAAATATATTTGCATCTTATACCTATATAGTTGAAGTTGAACTGTACTGATATTTACAAAGCAGTGCATAAAACTGGACTAACAGTAACAGTAAAAGCAATTGCTCAGTAGCAGTTAATTAAATAAGAAATGTGGATAAATGCTCATATTTGAGTGAGTCATGAAAAATCAATCTTGCTGAAGAAGAGGAGATCGTCTAATAAAGCCATTTACAGCTCAATTATATGCAGGCTACTTGGAAGCAAGACCCACTGAGATCAATAGGGCTTACTCCCAGGTAAGTGTGTATAGGGTCCCAATCTCAAATTAGTTAAATGAATCAGCAGCTTGAACCCAAAAATTCATAGGCTAAATGGGCATGGTTTTCCGTCACAAGAATCATATTTATTTTATTATCGGTTCCCAGGATTCTTTGAGGGGAGCCATGACTATATAAAGTAGCATGATTACTGCCCAGAGGCCTCGGAAACGTGATGAAGGCATCGTTGGGTATTATCTGTGAATTTTCATACATTAACAAATGAATGAACATGAGAATGATCAAGTACAGATCATTCTGTACTTGGTCCGTGGATGGTCCAGGAATCAGTGCTTTTTTACATGAGTAGAATGTGTTTTTTTATTTAAAATGCATCTCTGGGTTATTTGTGGGGCCTGCCTGGTGTTTTTACATGAGTAGAATGTGTGCTTTTATTTAAAATGCACCTCTGGGTTATTTGTGGGGCATAAGAATTTGTTTATTCCCCCCTCCCCAAAAAATAGTCTGCCCCCCTACAAGGTCTGAGGGACAGTGGACCAGCCCCCTGCTGAAAAAGTTTGCTGACCCCTGGTTAAGACGATCCATAGCCCCAAGAGATGTGTAATACCTGTGAATTTGGTATTATTGCCAGACGATGCAAACTGTGAAATTTGTTACTTAAAGATCTTTCATGGCTGTTGCGTTTTTTAATTATCAGATTGCCTTTAAACATGCTTATTTTGAGCAAAGAAAACAGTCAACTCCCTATTTATTTATTTTGCCCATGTCACGGGTTGTACTCTCTGCTCTGCAGTATGAGTCATTCCTATCTTGAATACTGATGATCTATAGCTCTGAAATGACATAACATGTATCTCTGTATCGTGTATTATTGCTTTATTTGAATTTATATTACTTTTCTACCATTGTAGGGCATTGCAGACTTGGGCTCCATTGTAGAATTTAGTGCAATTTAATTTCCTCATATTTTCCAGCAAAGT